ATATATATATATATATATTTTTTTTTTTTATTATTATTATTTTTTTATTTATTATTATTTTTTAGTCCATTAATACTTTTCTACACTCAATGACATCGAGTCAAATCCTTCTAGTTGAATATATTCCACACTTTAGTAGCCAGAATTTTCCACATTTGACAGCTAAGCTTACGGAAAAGCCTTTTAGCATTAATAGCAAATAAATTATGCTTAAAAGCTTGCTGTATAAGAAAGCATAAAAAAATCATACCTTGGTCATATTAAAACCAAAATTGATATGTCTTCTAGCTTAATCATTATTGGCCTCTTTCACATGCCCAAAAATGCTAGATATTTGAATAAATTGAATCATTGAACGAGTATTATGCAGTCGAGCACACGCAACTGCAGCGAACTTGCCAATTTTTTGTTTGTCACTTTGACGCTTAATGATAAATGTGTTGGTATTAAATACGTTTAACTATATTCAACTATATTAATCACACCTTTTCATTATTTTCTTCTCGTTCGGCTGCAATTTGCAATTCGATTGCTGCTCCCCTCGATGCATTTGCTGATTGAACAAAGCAGTAATTGAAGGCACTGTTGGCTGCCTTTGTTGTTGTTGTTGTTGCTCTTGTTGTGACATGATTACACTATTATATTTTTATACGCACTTTAGCCCTTCTTTCATAGACACACGCACACACACACTCGCGACACTTGTTATGCAAATTGGTTTCTTATGCAAAATATTGCAGACGCGACGAGGAACCTTTTGTTCACTTCTTGATATATTTTTCTTTTATGCGGCTTTGGTCTCGTTGCTAGTCTCAATGTTGTTCGCAAATTATATTTATACTTGTATCAGTTTTATTTTGTATTTTATTTTGTTATTAATTTATTTATTTAAGTATTTTATTTTGAATCTGCATGCACGGCCGGCTTAGCGCTGTTGCGACGCATGCGAATTTTGCTTTTGGTTTGCCCAGCTACAGCGAGCTGACTGACAGAGTAACCGTCGACACGTCGACTACGAAGCTTAAATTCATCGCAGATGGCAGCAGCGGACAATAAATATAAAAAAAAAAAAATACAATACAAAAACAAAAGCAAAAACCAAACAAAACATACATAAATAAATATAGCTATAGATATATATATATATATAGCTAGATCAACTAAGCAAATGGCAGCAAGTGTCGTGTAAAACGACTTTTGGCGATGAATCCATTGCGAATGTGTAAGCGAGGGTGTATGCGTTTAATGCACGTGTATGTAACAGCTTCGAGTAAAGGCCTGAGCTGATGAGCTGAAGAGCGAAGAGTGAGTGAGCGAGAGTGAGACGGATAACATGTAGAGCAGAGCTTGTAAAGTTAGTATTCAAATGATTTCAGTAGATTATTTTAACGAAGATATAAGAGATATAAGAGAATCCTCTTATGTTGCACGCAGAAGAGACTTACATATGTATAAATATATATATTATGAAATAAACAAGCTGTAAGTGAATTTATTTATGTTGTAAATAGAAGAGATTTACAATTTTTCGAATTTATTTGTGCTGTTCAGCTAAAAGCTGGAAATAAATAAATGCAGCTCTTAAGCTCAGACCCAAATAATAAAAGTTTGTAAATCAAAGAGTAACTGTGGCCTTTCATAACAAATATATACAACTTAATATAGATTGAACAGTTAATAAGTATATAAGTATAATAATATAAGTATATAAGTATAATAAAGATGTCATACATTTCTCTGAAATTCCTTTTAGATTATAAATTTTATTTTAATATTTTATTATTATTATCATTATTAATTTTTAATTTTTTTTTTCTTTTTAATTTATTTATTTGATTTTTTTTTTTTTTTTGACTAGACTTTTAATAAGTGTATTTAAGTTAGCAAACTAATTTTCTTTAATATAATATACATACATATGTATATATACTTTTAGTGGCTTGGCCTATTTTAATATTTTATATATAATACAATATTTGCTTTATATAATGTATAAAATATATACATATATACTAAATTTTTGCTATATCGATTAATCCCTGGACTGCTCAACACTTAGATCAACGTATTTAATAGTTTTGCACTCCCAATTAACACACTCGTAACTGATTTACTTATTTAAACAAGTCATATAGCTTATATACTTATTGATTATATACTAGATCTGCTTCAAATACTATTTATACTAACTATACAAATCTAGATAGCTTTAGTTCACGGTATTTGTTAGTCATGCCATTCCCTAACTAACCACTCTTGCGATTTTTGCTTTACATGTTTTATCGCCTTTCCTATTATGTTGTTGATTTTTGTGCTCCTCATTTTCGGTTTTTGTTTTGATTCGCGATTCATGAATGTGAGAGAAATGGGCGTTTTGGGTCAAAGGTTTCAGTGGCTTTTGGCAATTTTTTCATTTGTTGACAGTTCCGATTGATGATTTAATTGAATTTTACTCTTTCTCCCTTGAAATGAATTTCGCTCAGTGTATTAAATACGCTTCATATGAATGTTGATATATATAATATTTTTCGAGCGATATTGTTTTGTTCGTCGCTTTTAGGGCATCGATACTGGTGGCGGTTCGTCATAAAGCCATAAAAAAAATGCTTAGATATATTGACATCAACTACGTTGTATACACAGCAATAAATTGGGCTTGCGATAAGGCCAGCACTGAGAGCAGAATGCAAATGAAATAGACATTTGTTACTTATATTATTTTATATAAAATAAATATTTGGACTACACTTTTATATATATTAAGTATTGGCATCGTTTAGTGCGCTAAACACTAATCCACCAATGCTCGCTAATCAGTTCAATTCAGTTCACTGCGATACTAAAAATAGTCTTGCTTCGAGTGCTCTGCCATGATATGGTATTAATTGATTGGGATCTGCAGATAAAAGCAAAGTGTTTTCAAGTATTCTTGGCTAACACTGATAGTATAGTCTCAAATCTAAAATACAATAAATCGGTGTCGTTTAGCATCTTCAACTGATTGACTGATTGCCTTCAATAAAATCAGATTTTTTATATTACATGTTATAAAGGGGACTATAAAAACATTTTCATTCATCTACCAATTTCATTGCTTGGACGACTGGTTTTGGTTTATGGTCTATTTTATAGCATTATACAAAAATTTAGCTTAAGGTTAAACCCGTTAAGGCAACAAATCACAAAGAATTATTACAAAAGATTTGTCTAAATGAAGTGAACATTAAAAACTGTTGCATACTTATATGCGCAAATTAATTTGCGCCTTTGGTGTAAGCTGACGATGTATTATTCATTTATTAACATTTCATTTACTTATGCATTTAATGAGTGCCAAATTATAATAAAATACATGCACATATTCTGCTGTTTTTTTTTTTTTTGTAGGTTCTATAGGAATTATTCGTATTTGTATTGCAATATATTTTGATATACCCGCCTACGAGACAATACAAAATAATTGTAGCATACTTCTGCGCTGTAATCAAAATGTGCAGAGCCTGATAGCAGAGGGTGTTCCCACAGCTATAGTATAAATAATTCCAGCCCTTTCTGCTATCTTTATGTGCACTCATATACATATTTTTATATGTATATATTAGACGATTCAATATATTTTATAGATGTATATTTCATGTAGGTATATTTATTTATTAAATTAAAGTATTTATATGCTTTAAGTGCATTAATAATAAAATTAGGTTTTATTTTATTTGCATTTACTTTAATTGGTTTAAGAATCCTTTAATGCAAAAACATATTCAATAAATGTTTACCAATTAGAAACCAACAAAAAGCTAGTTTTCTCAATTGAAATAATTCATTTGGCTATTTGTAGAAATTTAAGAATTTAAATAAAAGAAATCTTTCATTTTGTAAATTACCTATTTATTAATAATTCAATAAAATAAATCACTTTGTAAATTACCTATTTATTAGTAATAATTATAATATTTCTTATATTTTTTATAATATAAACAAATTAAAAACTTCATTCACATAGCAATAGCAATTAAACAAAATTTTACGCCAATTCAAATTAGCAGAGTTTCACAGCACAAAAGCTTTTCTTCTCATGTCACGAAGCTAGCTGATACAACAACCAATGCTGCTACATGAGAGCTTAACCACTTCACAGCTGACAGCTATATAACTGCGTGCTGCTTTCCTGCTTCGAATTGCAAACTTGAATAACGAACGAACCAAACTGATTGGAAAGAGTTAGCTAGCGGGGATATCCAAGAGACGAGATCAATAACGTTGAGCCCGCAGCATGAGAACGCGATTAGCTGGAATTAACATGTGCCGCATGTCTCGCTAAAGTCGCTTCAATATTGACACGAATGACGGCCGGGTCGACAGGGCCGACGGGTATATCCGGTCTTAACAACTGACCGCCGCCAGGCCATTCGCTTTGTCTGCTTAATGTATGTAATCGATTTCACACTACTTTTTAATCACTACAAACCACATTTATTGTTTGCGCACAACGAGAAAAGTTAAACAAAGCCAAGGGCAGGAGAAGCAGGAGGTGGAGCTATACAAATTGACATGGTCACATTATTGGGCATCTGCAATGGCACTGGAAACTGGGCCCAAAACTCTCTCACGCCGTTAACACACAAAAGGTTTTTATTGTGCGTGCATATGTGTATGTGCTTATGCACACAGTCACATATATACATAGATATAGATACATATATATATATATTCGTTGACAGCTTAAATCGTCGCCTCAGCCCCAAGCCTGGATCGATTTGGGACTGGCTACGGCTACGGTTACGGCTACGGCTGAGTCGTTTGTTATATTTGTTATTTATTTTGCGGTTATAATACTTATACGCGCCTTTTTTATTGTATTTACAGAAAATATTGTACGCCATTCAGAAAAAATGTAAAAAATTAAAACAATAAAAAAAAAAATACACAAATAACAAAAAGTTTTTTTACAGTTTAACTTTGGGTTTTGTGCTGGCAAATGATAAATTAGCTTTGTACGTAAATTCAAAAAGAAAATCTGTACGTGAAAATATATATAAGGAGTGGAAGTGGAAGAGAGGGAGATGCCGAGGGTAGAGGAGGAGAGGTATCTCGTTCAGGTAAGTGGAGCGAGAGACGAGTAATTGTGTAAATATCTTGTCGTTGTATGACAATAAGCGAGCTACAGCCATCTGCAGTGCGCCCTCACTCACTCCATCGTTCTCTCTCTCTCTCTCTCTCTCATTCACATTTGCGTCATGAATGCCGCATTATTATTATTATTTTGTACTTTGTCAACTTAAACAGCAAAGCCTCGCATGGCGTTGATGCGATGTGATAATTCAATGTCGCGCAGCCAGCGCACGAACACCTCAGACGCTGGCTCAGAGTTGGGCTCAGATACAGATACAGATACAATATCTTTTTATATGCATATGGGCTGTAGTTGATGGCCGTTGATCTTTGTAGAGATGACCGCAGTTTTGTTGTTGTTGTTATTTCTCTTTTGAGCATGCCAAAAGAATTGTAATTACGACACTGTCATCTGTATCTGTATCTGTTTCAGTATTTGTATCTGTATCTCAACAATGGCATCAGCATAACAAAGAACAAATTGCTGTAAGCTTGGCTCAGCCTCAGTACGATCTCTCCCCCTCTCTTAGCCTCTCTCTCTCCCTCTCTCTCTCTCTGTAAAAAGCGCCTAAATAGTGTCAATGATTAATTGCTTTTGTGATTATGTGGAAATTTAATAGATTTTTTATTGCGCGCTCTCTCTCTCTCTTTCTCGCTCTCTGGCCTGCAGACCAAATTGATATTCTATAAAGGTACGTAGACAAGCTGGAACTGTAGCTGTAGCTGTAGCTGGAGGCACGTATCCATCCGCATTGACTGACTGCAGCATCATCATTATTACCCTCAGTTATTTGTCAGTTTGTTTTCGCTGCTGCCGCTGCTGCTGCTGCTGCTGCTCCTATGACATTTACTGTTTGGTTGGAAAAAAAAAGGGCCGCATCATTGTTGAAAATTCAAATTGAAATTGAAATTGAAATTCACACGCGTCACGCTGCCAACTGCAGTTGGGCGGTGGCTCTGGGTGGTTTAGCTTGGCTTGTTAGCATATTTGGTTGTCGCCAAGCTGGCAGCTTGTATTAAATGTAATGCCACCACAAATCCTCTAAGCTGACCACAGCAGACGAGCCACCGGCAACTAGAGCGTTTCGCAATCTCTTGAAATCCGAACAAAGTCACAAAGGAAAACGCACATTGAAAGGGGAAATTCAAGTGGAAATTACTCAATTACAGCGGGCGTAAGAACAGCAAATGGAAACCAAAACACAAATGCGAACATGAAGCAAAAAAAAAAAAAAATGCAATAAGAAAACGAAAACTAAAACGAAACGTACGTTGATACCAAAATATAAACCCCATTGACCACTGGCTTAACTGTGGGCCGTCCTGGAATTACTTTTAGTGCCGTTTCGGCTTTTACAGCGACGTGAATGTCCTTGCCAGGGCGGAGCACGTGACACGAGCACGAATTGAAGAACTATGTCTTTCATTGTTGAGATTGATTTGACTTTTATTGATATAAAAAAAAAAATAAAAACCTCAAAATTGCAATAATAATAATTAAATGTTAACATAAATAAATTGCTAAATGTTCAACAATAATTTAAAAAATAAATATATGTATATAAATAATTTTATAATTATCTTAAGTTAAATTACTAAATATCAGTCAAATAATTTAAATGTTTATAATAATATTATTATCATTATAAATCTATATAATAATTTATTTATATAACAATTTATTTAATTATTTTATTTTACCTATTATTCAATATATATTTTATTAGTAAAAAAGTTAACAAGCTAACTTATCTTTATCCGATTTCATAGAAAATACTTCAGCTAAACATTCAGTATATAATAATAAAAAAAATCGCATTGGAAATTAGATCAATGTATTAGCAATAAGAAAATCCTGTTCACATCAACAATATATTATGTAACGTAGCCTATCGCGTTCACTCCCGCCCTTCACTCTCGTGCCATCTATTCAGTGCCGTGTCACGCTGTCACCCTTAATGCTTATTGATAATTCTGTAACGTATAATAGCTAAAGAGGGAAACCCTACAAAGCAATGCGATGTGCGCGATAATTACACCCCCCATCAATTGGGGGAGCCGGAGACGGGCCTGCATACGGACATTATAACAGGACAATTATGTAACCTGATAAGTCGCAGACGGAGAATGTTGTGAAATTAATAACTTGTACTCAACGCCCCTGCCTCTGCCGCTGCCCCTGCCCCTTCCCCAGCAACTGTCTGTGCCTCTGCCACCTCTGGCCAAACATATTTATTACAAATAAAGAGACAAACACAAAAGACAAACAAATAAACAGACTAAGGCAGGCGGGCAAATAGCAAGTGCCATGAAGACCGGTACAACAAAGCGTTTGGAGCATTTAATAGGCTTAACTAGGGTAGGTGCTGGGGCAGGGCGGGCAGGTGGAGGAGCGGACGAGGCAGAGTGGATTTTAACAAAGCTCCAAGAAGTGTTGACATGTTGTTGGCATTGTTGTTGCAACAATTTACACTTCAATTCCAATTGGAAATTTGAATTGCTTTCTGGGTGGGGCATGCTATTAAAGTTTTGTAACTGTTTCAGATTAGATCAATCTGATTAGTCTGATGGCACGTTCGGCCAGTTGCAAGCTTTTCGCTTTTCGCCTTGCAAGCTTCTGATTGGCGCGCTGACATCGGGCTATGCAATTTACCTAATGCTCGCGAACATCTCGCGAAGCTTTCGAGCTGAGCTACTCGTATTACGAGCTATTCGCCACATAAATGAACTTAGCATGTACATAAGCACACACAGACACACACACATAAATTATTTGTGTATGTGTGTGTGTTATAAGCTCTCGTCCCTGTCAATGCTTTGTCGCCTTGGCGCTCGTTTCGTTTCCAGCAATTCCATTTCCAATTTCAATTCCAATTCCATATTCAATTTTTATGCGCACGCTCTCGCTCGCGCGTGCCAGAGGCCACGCTCTCCGCTCGCTGCCTCTGCCGGCGCATCCATCAGCCAGTGTCTCTCGCTCTTGCTTCTGCACACGGCTATGCGCTGATGTTGTTGCTCTTGCTGCTCGCTCTCGCTCTCTCTCCGATTATTTTATCTGCCACTCGCCAGCCAATCACATTGCCGTTTCATTGCCAGGTGAGCTATTGGCGTTTTCGTATCAAAACGAAATTCGTATTGTAATTGAGACTAATATCCACGTGCCACACCCAAAAATAATAATACTAGCGAGGTGTGCTCAATGGATTTAGCAAAAAAATTTCACTTAAACATAGAAACATTCAGCATTCACTCGTATTGTTTAATAGCCGAAACACCTGATGCATTTCGCCCCCCGACGCAAGACACAATTGCATTTTTACGCTCTTTTAATTGAGTTAGCTAATTAAATGTGGTCATCCCTGCTGTGCGGCGTACTCTCGCCGCAAGGGCTACTCCGGCACTGTGGGAATTCGCACAGCTTTGGCGGGCATAAAAATGTGCGAGGTCTAATTGTTGGGTGGCATTTTATTGTGATTGGGCAGCACTGAAAACTGTGCGCTGTGTTTAATGTGTTTGGGGCTGCACCACATTCACAACGACTTTAAGCTGCAACCATTGCCTAGCTCAGGCCTTCAATGTGGGCGTACTGGGGCTTTTCTTTTCCCAGGCCGAGCAATACTAAACAGAGCTGTGAGTCGGGGTAATTGCTATGCATACACCTCACACAGACACACACACACACACACAGACACTCATACTCTGTTGCTGTCATCCAATAATTTCACGCAGTGCTAATTAATTGCTCAACAATCGGCGGCGTCCAAAATGCAGCGTGGGAAAGCCGCACCAAAGCGGAAATCGCTTCCCGCATCGCTCGGAACTTGTCGCTTCAGTTTTTACAGGTTTTCAGCATATTTCACACCTGCTCGGCGAGCTAGTCAATTGATTTCACCTTTGAATTGGGCAGCAAATTCAATTAGTAATAAACAAGGCATTGTTGATAAGCGCCCCAAGCATCAGCCGTGGCCCCACCAGCCTGGTCTACGATGCACAGATATCCAGCCGCGTGTGACTATAAAATTTATTAAAGCCCGGGGGCTGACTGAGAATCAGAATTCTGAAACTGGACAATCTGGGCTGGGAGGGAGGCGGCAGGCGGCAGGCGGTAGGTGTGGCTCACTGGTTGTGCGCGCCCACGTGTGGCACTTATAATAAAGTAATTCAGAGAAATCATTTGCAGCGGCAGCCGCAGAGCAACAGAGCCACAGAGAAGCGAAGCATTTGAAGTGCGCCTATTAAACGCTGCAAATCACAGCCGATGCGCAACAAGCTGTAAACTTGTTGCAAAAGATGAAAAAACTCAATGCGACGCTACTCCACACACGAATGCGCAGACACATACATACGCGCATGTATGCATAAATATAAATGTAAGCAGAGAGCAACAGCACCAGCAGCAGCAGCAGCAGCAGAACCAGAACCACAACCATGCCATCCAACAAAGACCCCGAACACCAACGCAGCGTAAAGAGATCAAAATGAAAACATTTCAGCTTGAAGACATTGCACAGTGGAGTCGAATATAAGGAAGGAAATTTTTTAATATATATATTATTTTATTATTCGGCTTTAACAAAAAGCAATTATTATCAGGTCTATCAGCAGATAATATTCCCTTTTATTATATTGAATATTGAATATGTATAAATAAAATATAGACAGACAATTCTTTTCAACAATAAAAAAGATGCTGACATATAAGAAAGAAAATATGATAAATAAATTTCTTATATTTCCTGCTTAAATATTTTATATTTAATAAATTGTCAAAACGTTAAAGAAGCAGAAAAAACTGATTTAAAAATATTTTTACCAATTTTATTTACTTTTTGTCTATTATTATTTTAATTCCAAATTATTTTTACTACTATTATTTAAATTAAATATTTGTGAAAAAATAAGTTTTTTTATATATTTTATTTATAGCCAAAAATAAATTAATTTAAGGGAATTATTTAAGCTCTTCAAAGGAATTGCTTAACATTAAAAGGTGAATGTAACGGGATTTTTGTATTTCTTATTTTTATAATTTTTCTGTATTTTTAAAGCTTTTATATATTTTATTAATAATGAATATTTAATATATTAATATTTATTATATTAATATTCTGTAATATATATTACTATATTTTGTAGAATTTTAAGTATAGTACAAAATAAATATTGTATATATGTATGTAATCAATATTATTGATATATATTTAAACATCTTATTAAATATATTTAATAATCATATTATTTAGTTTACATAATTTTGACTATTCTTAACAAAACTTTAATCGATTAAC